TTTCATTCTTATTTAATAATCAAGCACCCTCATACCGATCGGAATTTTCGGCTTTTATTATGATCGACTAAAAGGCTCGAGAAGTTGCTGTCGCCCTTTCACAAAATCTGATCTCATTCCATAAGAGCGCCGCGCTTCGGCGCGGACGCCAATAATATCTAATTGTGCGAAGCTTCTGCAACAAAAAAGGTGTTTCGGAAATCATTTCAGACATCAAAAGGAATATTATCCGGTTACTACATCGGTGTACATCAAGGGATAATGTTCAATCAATCAGGTTTTTACCTTATTGGATTACAAATAGGTTTCGATCAATAGACTTTCCCTGGGTACTGTAACTTTTAGATGTTAAATAAAAGGAAAAACGTAATTTTGTATGTTTGCTTCCCGCTTCATCCGATGTGTTCTTAATGCTTTTTAAGCCGTTGTTTATTTTTGCTACACAACTACCTTGATTATTGGTAAAAGTGTTGCTACAACATAAGCGTTTTGTATTACCTATATAAGCACCATTTGAATGAACTGTTATTTTCATTTGAAGATGTCATAAATAAAGATAACAAATGGTAAGCAAATAGCAGAAAGAAAGTTATAAAAATGAAACAGAAAATTAGGGACACTTATAGCTGTTTCGTGATGATGCGATCGTCATTCAATTAATATTATACTAAGTAAACTGAATTAAAAACCAAACTACCAATTAAATAATTGAGTTATCAACGAAATGTCAAAAAGAAAACAAATCTTTGAACAGTAACTTATTGTACTTATTGTTTAGTTGCTGTTTCAAACATGAATTCTATAACATGTCATTTGTTTTCTTTGTCAAGGAAAGTAAATCTACTTAAGTGAATGAGACAGCTCGAGTAATGTTCTTGTTATGAATGTTTTATACCATTCGCAATGACAACATTTTATATTATGAAACATGATATACTATAAATAAATGTACTTCTCGTTAGGTCAATATATAGTTTTTCTGACCTGATTGTAAAGAGCTATGACGTAGTTCAAGGTGTATGATGTACGGTAAGTAAACTGTATAACAAAAAGAATATATACGTAACAGCTGGTGATTATTTGAGCTTAATATAAAAAAAACACAATTGTCGCCTATCGAAATGCTATTCAATTCTTAAAATATACTTTTAACATTTTTACTGCATAACTCCACAATGATAATAAATTATTATTAAACTATATAGACCACTGACAGACCACAATGATAATAAATTATTATAGATATACATGTATTATCAAACGATATTAATATCATCATATTTTAATTACACATTCGTATTTTATTATAGTAATCGAAATTCTGAAAACAAAGTGATCCCTCGGAAGCATTAATCACAACAAAATTACAAGAGAATTGCAGACTCGGTTTGATTGAGTCTGTACATGATCTATTTTGTAATGTTTGAAAAAAAATAATGTCACACTGCCATATTAGAATTTTTATGTTGTTTTCTTTTCTTTCTTTTGCTTTAAATGTCTTTATTTGTTCCTTATATGTTGTTGTTGTTGTTTTACATTTTTATTTTTGTGTTTTGTTAACATGTTGTTTTTAAACGCTAATTGTCTTGGTTTTGGACCATACGAACAATTTTGAACTGCGTTCGACAATTTCTATATTTTATATATTTTGTTAATATACTGCTAAATGGCCGGATAAAAGGCTTAACATTTGCCTTATCCAAACATTTCCCGTGATGAATAAAATATAGGTCAGAAACGCACGAGCACTGTGCTTGTAATTGTTTAATAGGTTCAATGTCAACTGGTATGTAATGCTTAACCTTTCACCGGTCAGTGACTTTAATTGAACTTCAGATAATAATTTGTAAATGAAAACGATAATAGTCCGCTTTGCAAACGCTTTTGACAAAGATATAATGTAGATCAGAGGAATGAGAAACTTCTAATTGGGATACTTTTAAAGGGTCGGGAGGCATACATTACATCTATCGTCCAAATATTTTTTACTCTTTCCTTTTGGCTGATAAATGTTAGAATTAAATGATGTTTAACTTTATATTACTGTTTAATCATAACAATATTTCTTCTTCGGAAAAAGACACACTGTGTTTAGCGTTGTCTTTTTAATGTCAATGTCTTATATCTTAGTCTCATCATATATAATTCCCTGTTTATTATTTATGGTGATTTATTTATGGACCCTGAAGAAGGCTGCTCAGTCGAAACGTTGATATATTTAAGGGGATTTTAAGAATTTGTAGTTGACTACTTTTTTTACTATTTAGTCTTATCATAGAAATATAAAGATCATATACAATCTTATGCAATCTTCAAATGAATTATTTAATTAATGGTATGTTTTTGTTTATGTTATGCTCATCGATAATATAAATGATTTGTTGCATAATAAAGCTTCTTCTTCTTCTATCGGATAAAAAATTCATTTTAATATTCTGTAAATATGTGCATTTTAAATGAATATGACCCATTGCAACACTTGAATGGCAAGTTAAATAAGCGATAGTGTGATAATTGTTAGGGGACAAATTGTACTGAAACAATATAATTTATAAATTATATTCATTAACAGAAATACAATATCTGATAAGGGTCATTTTTTCATCATATTAATATTGAATAAAAAACAATTATCGTAGAAATCTAAATACAGCGTTGCTTTGAAATATCGCAGCAGTAATAAGGTGTTTCAGGGATCATTTCAGACATCAAAGGGAATATTATACGGTTATCACATCGGCTTACATCAAAGAAAAATGTTAATTTGATGATGTTTTTACTGTTTAGGATTACCATCTAGCATTTTGTTTTTTGTTTTTTCGTAACAGATGATAAATAGAATGAAAATGTTCTATATACGTGATACTAGTATTTAGAATATTCTGATTGTAGCGTTTCTATTTGCTTAACCTTGTTTATTTGTACAACGGACATCAATTAGTTTAATTGTAAATTGCAGAAATGGACAAATTATTTCATTGGAAGATAATGTGTCTGCAGTTTAACACAAAGGTTTGGGTCCGAAATTATCACCTAGTCAAAGCCTTGAATGCAGTGATGTTTGTCATTTGAAAATTGCAAATTTGCAAAATATTCGAGATGTTATTTAACACTGGTGAATTATATAGGAAAGCAAATTAAAACGTTCCCTAACAAAATATTCACATAACCTTTTCATGTATATATTTGAAAATTGTGTAACTGTCAATAATTTTATTCATGTTAAATTAATTGCAACAATTAACGCGCGTTGAACTAAACATTTTTAATGCACAAAATATACACAAAACATTTTGTATACACTATTAAATTACTCTAAAATCATAAAAATGTCAATAGTACGAGGTCAAAGTTGCGTTCTGTAAATAAACTATTTTCTCTTTCTCTGTAATCTTGGTCACAGAAGGGATAAATGTAAATGAAGTATATTTCATCATCAGCAAACATCAATCTACAATGTATGAGTTGAGAGAAAAAACATGATGCTCATTAAGATAACTAGAAAAACATCTCTAACTCTCATATCGGTCAGTGACTGATACATACAAATGCTTCATTATATATATAGAACAAGTTTTTGATTTAGATATGTGTACAAATATAACCATATACATGTCGAAAATCCTGTAAACCAATTAAAGCATTGCGTGAGATAATACTTTCGTTCAGAAATTATAGACAAGAATATCTGATAAAACCAATAAAACATTTCTGAAATGACATTTGCTTAGAAGTATCTTGATATGATTATATAAAGCATTTAAGATGGTTATAAATTGCCTACGATATACATTAACATCTTTACTTCCTTTACTAATGGTAATGATAATAATTAAACATTAGCCAAATAAATTTAAACACATATGTGCATTGTAATTAAAGAAAGAACGTTTTATACATTAATTTTACAGAAATAAACAGAGTACTCGTATAATGTTCTATATCTTCAACATAAATGAAGAATGACTGATTAAATAAACAAGCACCGTTGTTGTTGCTACAGTGTATATGTACATAGCAACAACAGAACGGTGCTTGTTTATTTAATCTTTATGTTTTATTTGACTGTCAGAAGAAAGACACATTTTTTCTTATATGATATTGAAAAACTTATGACCTAAATAATTTTCTTTGAGAAAAAAACAATGGAGGCTTGTAAGCCCATTTATATCATTGTTTTAATATGTGTGTTTATTTTAAATTGTTTTCTTATCATTGAATTACAATAGAACAGTTCCTTTTCGTACACTTTCTATGTCAATAATTATCAGTATATTGGTACCAATTACTTCTACTTTGTCACATGTTTTAACATACAATTCTGCAAAGTGTAAAAAGTATGACATTTCCCGACGGTAGCAATAAACAAATATGAGCCTAAAAACGTGAAGTATAGAATAAAAGAAAAAATAATTGTTGTTATCAGTAGTTATTTAATCAATGACAAGATGCCTGTATTTTTCTTTGTTTATTTTTTCTGTAGAAGAACTATGTATTGATTACTGACCGACTTTTCTTATCAGTAATCCTATTTAATGTCTTCAAGGGATGAATGAATACAAGAACTTTCGCCGGAATTACAAGGGATATTGAGAAAAAGATGGACTTTTTTGCCAGTGTAGCATAAAAAGACACGCAGGTTAAATGTAATGCAATACAGATAACTCGGGCAATGATCTACTTTAAGATTCTATGATATGTGCTTTATGTCGTTGAAATTCTGCGCTCATGACTCTACTCGAGTTTGAAAAATAAGTTTGCCAAAGAAAATTCAACAGATATACCTTTATTAGAGATGACATCAAATCTACAAATACTATAAAAAGCACATATATTCTATTAAAGGTAACTTGGTACAGAATGTAACATAAGACCCTAGCACTTACAATGATGAACTGATTGAAAAAAATATGTGCTCTGTGTATTGTTATACCTAAAAGTATGATGTGACTTATAGACCCTTCTTAATATATCCTCATACATATTCATAGATTTCTCAGAACGAGGCTAACAGGGCAAGCTTTAATATCTGCTCTATGTAAACGTATGACGAATATATGGCCGAAAGATTTTCCTACAGTGGCAGAGATCTTCATATTGTACCATTTACTACATACTTGTTGAGAACTTTATTTAACATTACAAAAATCTCTTCTGGAGATAAATAAATCAACAACAGGGTTTAATTTATGCTATATACAGTGAAGGATATACATGTATTCAAGACCTGAAAAGTGAATTAATGTTTATGATAATTCCAAGCAATTTCTAATATTCCGTGTCAGAATAAATATCATGTTAACTCTTTGCAACTTATACAAACATTATCTGTGTTATCAGTATTTTATTGCTAACCTAAAAACATGTTGGTCAAGAATGTATAAAGCAATTAACTGATAATAGATGTAAACAGCTGGATGCTGAATTCTGTACCATACTTCTCCTAAATTTAGCTATTGAAATAAAAAAAACAAGTTTTATTCACTTTGTATTTAAAAGTAAAAAAATCTGGATGACTGTCTAGTACTTAACTGGTTAATTTTACAGACAGCCTTATCAAATCAAAATAATATTTTGTTTAGATATGACACCACATTCCCGTCTTATACATTTCAATGGATTGTCAGTATCTTAACACATGATGTTGTTTACAGCAATGTAAAAATACATTTCAAGCTAAGTAAAGAACGTAAAACTTATATGTTATCAACTATTTAAATTAATTACAGTATGAAATACTTAGTATATAACGAATTACAGTCATTTAATTGCAAATATCAGTCAAATCTTAAGACGAAGCTGAGGTATCATTAGCTTATTGCACTTGTCCAGTTGGTCCGACTTGATTATGTGGTCATATTGTTGGAAGCCTGTACTAGCTGGTATATAACAAATTATTAGGATACACGGCACTTCTAGAAGATTATGGCTGGACTAACCAACCCAATACATTCCATGTACTTAGGGGATTAAACATTTGCGGAAAACTTATGCAGGACCTTGCAGTCGTATTAGGTAAGGCAGCATCGAGTTTCAGCACTTCTTTTAACATTCCAAGACAAATTCACTCAACAGTATATAATGCAATAAGAGGACAAAATATGTAATTAACATGTTGACATATTCCCTGCAGCTGGACCATATATGCAACAAAGCACAATGTTAAAAACAAAGTAATGCGATGATTTCTTTTTAATTATTTATTTTAATGTAAGACACAAAAGACTAAACAAATGGTCCTTTAAAATATGCTAAAAAACATTTCGTCAGCTTGCAACATCCCTCTCTTTCTACCAGTCAAGCTGATTGTTTTGCTTGCTTCATAATAAACACTTTTAATGTTTTTGCTGATGTTTTATAACATTGAAACTGTAATGAATATATATATGTTGGAAATCCGGTATAACAAGATATACAACTGTCATCATTTGAAAATTTATTTGTATCAAACGTTCAATATCACATTGACATTTGTATCAAATGTTCAATATCACTGTTTGTTTTCTTCCTAAGTTTTCTGTAATTCTTCTTTGAACTCTTTTTAGTTTCTTTTTCATCTGTTATGCATTTGCCATGAAGAGATATTACAACTTAAGGCGATTCAAATACCAGTTGTCAATTTGTGTTCATGACTGTTATCAAACGAATTCCTGAAAAATATATATAATTATATACATTGTATTTAGAAATGGAAACAAGGATTATGACATTTCTAGAATATATCAATTAATATTTTAATTGCACATACATTTTTACAGTGGCTGAACTTTATTTATGTTTAAAGATAAAAATTAAGTCTTGTGTTGTACCTCTCATCTGGCAAAATCTTCTCTAGTGGACATCATACTGTTGTGTTCATAACTTCTCTAGTCAAACCAAGAAAGTACATCTATTATCTTCAGATTTTTTCGAATTGGTGTCCATTATCTTTAATCTTATTGTGTGAAATGCTTCAAAACGAGCAACTGTTGTCATGTATTGATCTGAAATAGTACATAAAATAATTGTTATTGCTTTTTAGTATAAAAACGGTATTGATTTAGATTTTGAAGCAATTATGTTTTAAATGTCATAATTATAAGTGTGATATTTAAATGAAATTCATGAACAAAACATATTTTTATGTTAATAATTAAATAAAACATTAAAAATAATAAGACATCAGATTAATAAAGATAAGTAGTAATACATCTAAAGTAGCTTGGTTTAAAAAAGAATAGAACAATGGAATTTTACCTTGAAATGTTCTCATTCATTCCTTTTTATTTTCACAATCCCTGCACTTATTAAACTCACATCCTCAGGTATTTTTATAAAAAAATAACCGTATAATCATATCTAGAATTGGAATCACATAGTGGAACACAACAACAAAAATGAGGTTTAACACGCTAGGGCTTATCAGGTCAGACATTATTTGTTTACATTCATGCCCTGTTAGCCTCTCTCTGGTGATGGAATGTAAAGCATGCATATAATTTGAGAAAGGCCTATTAAGAATTATAGATCAAGATTGAGATAGGAATCATGATATATTTTACGCTATTAACTTAACAAAATTGTCAACATCTCCGTTGGGTTACTAGCTAAAACAAAACCAAAATGCATCAAAAGCAATTGTAAGACGAAGAATGGTCATATGTAATAAATGTTACATGCACCTCAGTTAAAAGAAACAGATTTTTGAGAAAAATATAAATAATATCTCATTCAGTGATTTCACGTCAAATGTAATTTTAAAACAAATTGTCCGAAATCAATGCACGACTTAAGTACAGTTGCATCTTCTGCTGTAATAATGCCAGCGTTTTGTTTATCTTTTAAAATAAATTATTACTTTACTATGGTGGCTGATTTTGTAAGCTTTGTGCGTCTAGTTGGCGCTAGCGACAACACGACAAAGCGCCAAACGGCGCGTTGTCGGACTGTCGTCTTGTCGTCTGCACAATTATAACAAGATACGGAATAAAACGCAACAAACAGAATCATTTCCTCTGTAAGTGTAAACAAATATAGAAAAAAAATCATGTTACGCATGTGTTACCATCAACTTATGATATAGTTTGTTCTAATGGGCTTTAAAGCTGAAGACAATAAATCAACTTAATTTATATAATTTAAGCTATCTTTGTTTCTCGTCTATTTTTGGATTTAACAAGACGATTTTCTCGGAAAAATAATTTTTGTATAGCTTTGAACAAAGATTTTGATTATTTTCATTCCGTGTTTTTATTTTGTATACATATAAAATACGTGATAGCTTTAAAGGTCCCTTCCATGCAACTTTAATGTCTACAAATAAAATATATGTATGTAAATATCGATCTCTGGTCTCGTTTACGGACGAGCTTGAAAAGAAAAAGGTCGATTGTACCGGTACAAGTATTTGTAACGGCAATAGATCACTTTTAAAATTATTCTTAGCTTTTAAAACTAATAAAATATTAAAGTAAATAGGTAGTTTTGATGTATAGCTCAAGACAAAAAGCGCTTACACAGAAAATCAATTCGTATGAAAGAAACTCTGTATTTTCATCTTTCTGCAATCAAGAAAATAAGTTTTGAATTGCGCTCATAAATAACCAGAACATACTTAATTTAGGTAAGCAGTCACTTTAATAAAAAAACAATTTGAGGAACCATCAATAATTACTTTAATGGATCTACTAAACTGCCACAAGAGGTTTCTGGTGTATATAGGACTAAGCACACAAAACACGATGTTTTTATACCAGTCTCTTCTAAACAGCATAGTCAAATATATTTTGTATCGTTACATGTAAGTTACATAATTATTATTATAAGAATTTTTTATCAGCATTTTCATATATTTGCACATGTCAGAGATCCATTATTCCGGAAAAATTCCGCCTCGTCCAAGGATCGAACCGACGACCACTGGGTTACTAATCCGATGTTCAACTTAATAAGCTAAACGCGGAGACTTTCTTCAGCATTGCCTATCGATTGAACAAGTTTGCAAACTGAAAGAAATGACAAGTATGTCGATAACCCGTATAACTATGTAAAATATATTTTCTGTTCAGTATTCAAAACTTATAACATAATGTGAATTTCATATCTCACTGAAAATTGCCATGCTGTTATTGTGGCTATTAAGTGAAACAATGTTTCAATATTTGGCGAATTTACCTAAAGAAGAGGGATAGATACACCAAAAGGTTTTTTTTCTTTCATTTTTTTCTTCGTTTGAGAGGTGAAAATCTTGTTATATTTCTAGTATAAAACAACATTTTAATTAAAATAAAATTGCAATGAATTGAATGAAATACATGAGGGAAATACTTGATTACAATAGTTTTAGTGTTGAGGACAAACCCCCGTCGTTTGTGTCTTACCATTATCAAGTATCACCAGTCCCAAGCAAACTTCAAACTAGGTGTGCAATTTCACATTTAATTTGTTGTCTCATTGTTCTTCGGAGATCTCACATTTCAAGAATTTCAAAAATTTGCATAACTGTTTTTCCAATGCTTCATTTGCATATTTAAATAATGAACAGTTTAAAAACGTGTTTTTTTCTTCTATATTTCGTTCAAAATCTGAAAAAGGTGTAATGAAATATCAGTTATGACTTTTGAAAGACATTGAAGACTTTTGAAAGACATTGAAAATATAAAATTTTCACTTCAATGTCATAACTTGTTGTATGTACTGCGCAACGTTTTTAAGTAAAGTATATATTTAATATGATTTGCGTTTTAGATATTTATCTTATCATATATGAAAAAAAAGTTTTATAATGTCAGGTATAACGGGAAATGTGCTACAAAGGCATAGATCATAACATTGGTGTAACTGAGAATCGTTTCATACATTACCCTCTGATACAAAAATAAGACAAAAGTGCATGAATTTATTGTACCCGTATACTATAGTAATAATACTCAAATAGATTACAAATATGCGTCTATTAAGCTATGTTGATATTTTTTTCTGATTGCGTAGAATGTATTTTATAACGTATAAATTAAAATTTGATTATAAATTCTGTTCCAATAGTAGTATATTCTGCCTTAAATAGATTGTTGTAAAAAAAAGTAAACGTCATTTATTTTTACTATCAAACATTGCATTTGCATGAATTAATGTTTTCCCTTGACATGTATAACTCACAACTGCCTTGTGAATTATCTGCACGTATTTGTTTATATTTCTATTGCATGCAACATTTACCAATACATAAACAAACAAGCTTGAACAAGCCAGTTAACAAACGAATAAACAGTACGAACAAACAAATACACGCTTATAAGCATATTATTCACATCCAATGGATCAAACATCAAAAGGTATGCCTTGAAACATACAGATTTTAAGTACAATTAATCACATTTAAAATCATCTTAAATTTAATGTTTATGTAAACACAAAGCCTTGTGTTAAAGCATATTTGTCTATATTTTGTAAATTGGAGATCAAAGCTAATTCTTACAGCGTTACTTTTCATCTCTAAATATATGTAAGACCAATTAAAACAAAATTAAATCTACCGTGCCAAGCAATATTTCTGCTTAAACTGTTTTTGTTTTTTTGTAAAAATGGAAAATATTACAAACTTTAATCAACCGCTTTTAATATTTGATAGGTTGGTGTTTTTTTTTTTTGTTTGTTTGTTTGTTTTTTAATGTAGTATTGTTTCAAATACCGTAACTAATATATTTCAGACATCAAATGCAATATTATACGGTTATCTTATCGGTTTATATCAAATAAAAATTTTTGATTTGATAAAAGAGGCCGAAGGGTGGCCAAATAAACATAGTGACGCTTATTAAATCGTAACAAAATTTCATAAATTGAAATGTACGAAACCAGTATTAGGCCAACATGACGATTATCAATTAAATTACATTTAAATTCTATGTGAAGGATTGTCATAGACATGGTCCTTCTGGGTAATGTATTAAATGTACGCTAACAAATAAATTACATCAAGTAGCACAAGAAACATTTTTGTTTATTTGATTTAGCTTTGTTTCCCTATCTGTTTGTTTTGTCTGTGTTTTTGTATTATCATTATTATTATTATTATTATTATTATTATCATTATTTTTATTTCCCTGAAAAAGTGTATGATGCATATCTATGTCATAACGTGAGACAGCGATGTCGTCTGCTTTGGTGCTATTTCCAGTAGTCAACTGTGATTTCTAGCGTCTATCCGGCGCTTCATATGGTCAATATTGTATGATTTTTTTCTCTTCTCTCTTCTCATCTCTTTAAAGCAGGGAAAAAAACTCAAAATATTGATCACTGACCGAATTTCCTCTCTCAATAATCGCATTTACTCAATAAGTCCATAATATTAACGTGAAATGAATGAACACAATAATCGTAGCTTGCATGACAAGAAAGAATGTGTAAATGAGAAAGCGCTATTCACGGAGAATTGATGTCCACGGGGGAAAAAGTCAATATGTCAGTTACGTGTATTAAATGTTGTTATTGGAGGTTGTAGTGTTTTTGTTGTTGTTGTTTTGTTGTTGTTGTCGTTGTTTTCGTTTTTGTTTTTGTTTTTGTGTGTTTGTTTTTGTGGTGATCGTGGTGGATTATTGAATTATTTACCAATCACCATAAAATGGCAATCCGTATCTGGTATAAAACCGATTAAGAACATGTCAAATAAGCAAATAAGCGATTCATTCCGAGTTTTCAATATGGAGCTTATTGTTATTTGTGCGGACATTTTTCTTCAACATTACGTCATGTTTACAGGGGGCTTATACAACATGTATACCAATGACTGAATTCTACCCATTGTCAAGCTTTGTTCAAAGTTAGTAATTCGCAATAACTTGTAATAAAAACCTAACATTTAGAAATACATGTTTTTGTGTTATTTTAGCATTTAAGCCTTCAGTAATGAATTCTTTAAAGACGCAATCTAAAGCAGCATTTCTAGAGATTACTGTGGACGAATGAACACAATGCAATGTATTGTGCATGTTTCATTTCATTTCTTTGGAAAATGTGCACTAATCCACAACAAGTCCCAAAATCCTCAGTTGTTGTCATTTACCACGTTTCCTTTAACAGTATATTTTTTTTTTAGATTCCAATATCTGTTCACAATCCACAAATTTTTTATGTCCTTTGGTGCACAAATTGTGATATCATGAGCTTGCAGTGGTTGATCAATCTTGGGTTTATGGCATTCATACAAAAATAGTTTAAATGCAAATGTGTTAATAGCGCAATTGTGAGGTGTCTTTAGTACAATATCTTACAATGATTGCTACTGGTTAGTGATGCAACTTATAATTGTCATGGTGTTTAACAGTCACTCAGTGTACGAATCGGGCGTGGGTTCGATCCCCGGGAAATCCTTTGGTAGATTTAGCGCGGAGGAAGGTAGTCTAGTACTGGTGTAACTCTCCGGGAACAATGGCTAGGAAACTACCCGCCTATATGACTGAAATACTGTTGGGAAAAGGCGTAAATGAAACAAACAAACAAAA